GTGTGTGTGTGTGTGTGTGTGTGTGTGTGTGTGCTACAGTTTGTACAGTACAGGCGGTATACATTGTTGATTAGCGATCAGTGATTGCAATTTGTTGGCTTGCTAAATTGTCACCTGTCTTTTCTTTTTGTTCTGTTTTATCATAATTCAATCGCAAAGTTTTATTTTTAATTGGAAAAATATATTCCCTCTTTCCTTTTTCCTCTTTCAATCATTTTATATTCATTGATTCGTGTGAATTCGCATGTCTACAGTGACAGAGAGTGACCATTTGATATTTTATTGTGTGTAATTTGAATTTATGATTTTTTTATTATTTCAAGTAAGCAAATATTAATTTAAAAAAGATTGTTTTTTTTTTTTTGAAAAGTCATACCTTTTTGAAAAAAGCATTTGATGCAGTTAAATTGAAGAAATTTGCACTTTTCATTACAATGTCAAAGGCAGTTCCAGATGGTTGCAACTTATTTCAATTCTCCTTTCAAAGTTTTTGAATTGTTAGTCTTACTAACTAACTATTCATTAGTTTTTGTGAACCATTCTTACACTTCAATTAGTGTAAGTTAAACTTAGCTATGAATTTCTTCCGATTTCTTAACCATTTTAGTGTTTAATATTATAAGTGCCTGTATAGCTTCTACTGAAATTCAAATTAAATGCAGGAATGATTTCTAATTGATAAGGATAGACTGATTATTGTCATTGTCTTAACTCCTTTTTCATTTTTTATTTCCTGATTAGCTTAACATTTAAAAACTTTTTTCTTTTTGAATGTTTGTTTCTTGATGATTATGACTTTTTAAAAATATAGCAAAAAAGTTTAGGCTTAGGTTTTTATTTTATTTCATTTTTTCTCTCTTTTTTTTACAAATTTTTTTATCCTCGTCAACATTTCGTCAATGTTCTCATTGCTCAGAAAATAAATTGATTTGAAATTTTTGATACTTTTTTTACTTCTTTTTCCTTTATGATCGCTTTTTTCGTAGATAAATAATCGTTAATTTTCACTGCATATCCAGTAGTCCACAGTAAGCATTCATTTAAAATTTAAATTTTTAAATTGCATTTGAATTGATTAGAAAATAAAATGGATTAATGCATTGATGGTGGAAGGTAATGTTGAAATATGTCAGATCATTGTAAATCAAATCAAACTGCTCCTATCTTAATCAGTTATTAAATTTTTCATTTGTGATTGTCAAAAATATCAGAAAATATTGCCCATACTTATTAATTGCTGACTTGATCTTTTTTTAACATTTGTATGATTTTAGTAGAAAATAAAATTATCTTTTCCTTTTTTTTTTTGAATTATTCCATAGATTTTTTGTCATACATGATGGTTGGACGTATTCGGCGTTCATCATTGCTACCAGATGGACGTACTACTTATCAAGCGGTGAAATTTTCTGATTATTATCACCATCATCTAGGATCATCATCATCATCATCATCATCATCGATTCAAGCTAAACGTCGAAACAGGTTATAGCATATTCATTCTTCATTTTATTTTCGTGTTTTTCATTCATTTCATTTTATTATCTCATAGTCCAATCCATTCATTATCATTTCTTTCTAAACTCATTTTTTGTCTCGTAAAAACCGGTTATTCATTCATTATCATCATCTTCATCATTAGCAATCATTGCATCCGTTAATAACTGTTTGAGTTATAAAAAAGATGATGATTGAATTCATGGAACGAAAATTTATAAAATTTCAAAGAAATTCTTTTCCTTTTTTTTTTTTGAGAGCGAAAGAGAAGGGAATTTCTATTTCATCTCTATGCAACACTCGAAATATTGCAATTTATTATAGATATTGCGGTGGATAAAGTTTCATGATAAATTTATGATTAAAGTGATAAGATATTCATCAACATGGTCAACTATGAATTTGCAAAAAAAATGATTTGTTATATGTAAATATGTGAATATTACTATCGCATTAAGTTGAAAGGGATAGAATGTGCAACAATAGGAAGGATGGATGAAAAATTTTGTCGTAATTCGGTTCAACTATTG